TTGAGGTCTGCGTAGAGCTTCTTGAGTCGGCGATTGCACGCCGGAGACGGAAGCAAGTCCAGGGGCTCTGCATCTTCTCGGTCAAAAACTCCAACAGGGAAAAACAGCGATGCACTATTGCGAAGGTGGATCCCAGCGGGTATCCTGACGAATGACTGGCCGAAGTAGAGTCTTGAATCTAATAAAAACAAATTACCATATTAGTCGCGTATTAGTAATACAAAACGATACTAGTACTAAAGTAGAAATCAATAGTAAAATCAAAAGTACTTACCGAAGTTTCGTTGACTGCTTAAGCGTCCGCAGCTTTGACATCAGAGCTTGCACAGCAGCCAAATCTTCGTCGTGCTTTGCCAAGTGATGTGGAGCCGCCCAATTTACTAGCACATCCGACCAATGACACTTGCACTATGGTTGCGAGTCGCCTTTTCACAGAACAGTTGTCCCCGACCAGGTGCTTGCAGCAGCTTAGATTTTTCCCACAATCTCTTTCGAGCGTTTCCTCTAGAAAAGCGCGATGGATGCGGGCTGACAAGTCCTCGTCCGGCTCGTTGATGACCGGGGCTATGCTAAGGGGCTGGTCGAGCTGGCTGGTGCTGGTTCTTGGTCTGGTGTTGCCGTTAGGCGTAGGTGAGTACTGGTCGATAATTGGAGCAAATAGCAAAGGTGTAGGGTTAAATAAACTTAATCGCGACGTTTTAAAAACTCGAGAAACCGTCGAGTACCCGGACTTCCAGCCTGGCTGCTGTCCACTGAGTGCAGTTTGTAGTCACCGCTTGACGATGCCTACGCCGCCCTGTTTTGTTGCTCTTGCTGCCAAGACCGTGGCTGCAAGCGTAGCATTTGTGTGTGGAATCATGCTGCAGAGTAATGTACCTGTCAACGTACTCACTTTTGAGGCTGCTGTTGCCGTTGAAACTATGTTTGACGACCAGTGTTATTATCCGTGGTTCTGCCGTCACTTGCGCTGCTCGCAGGCTCAGAGTGGCTGGCGTTTCTACCAGAGCTTACGGCATGCTGCTGCAGCATTACAGCATTTACGTGCCTCTCCATCGACGTGCGCTGCCACATATCATTGTATCCCATCAATGCCGCCAAGTTCGGGCCAGGAGTAGCGGAGGATGCCTCGCCACAGGCAGCGAGCATGAACGGCGGTGGCACGCTTGGCATGGCGGTGGTCGCAGATGATGAAGCCAGAGCTGGCATTGAAGTGACAGTAGACGCCATCATGGAGGCGAGCGTGGCAGGTGCCACGGAGCTTTGCATCTTCGCGCTGTCCGTCGTTGCGTCAGTGGCGACGGACATGGCAGATTGATCGATTCTTCGTAAGTGACGTTTCTTGAGCTGGCAGTGGTTGGCGGCGCTTGAGCGCATGTTGGTGGTCACGCTTGCCTCCAGAAGCTTGCGCGTTCGCAGTGCTTGGCCATCAAAATTGTCAAACCCGAATCTTTGAGGTTTTTCCCCTAGACACAAGTGTACTCGGAGCACCAGACCGAGATCCAGCACCAGCCAGCCCGACCAGCCCGTAAGAAGCACGGTCTTAGCAACACGACCATGTTCGTAGTACGCAAACACTGCGACGAAATATTCGGATAAATAAGTCCACCCATTCAAGATACAGCCAAAACCATCTGGCAGCTCCGCCGCAACAGCAGCTTTCACGGAACGGAAACGCCTTCGAGTAGTGTGCGTAGCGTTTCCACCGAGATTGGCTCCAAAGAAGTGTATTTAATCAAAGCAATATTATATTATATCTATAATTATCAAAAAAGGAATAGTAGTCTTTACCGGCGAGCGAGCGTACTTTCACAGAATATGAGAGGCAGAGTTGCCTTCACGACCCACTCGAGCCAGCCAAACCGATTCATGGCGGAGCGACGGGCATAGTGCACCACAGAACCTGTCTGCGCACATGCTGCATGAGGTTGGTGAAGCCATTTCGCTTCGACGGCTTGCGCATTTTGCCGCATCGGTACCGGAAGTCCTCAGGCACCGTCCTATCATACTGGTCTCGGCATGGTGTAAAGGAGTAGGTCGTAATCTGAGCGTTAGAAAAGATTGCACGGGCACGAGGCGTAGAGAGCATGGCGTTAGGCGTGTTTTTTTAGCTTGTAGCAAACAAAGAGCCCTGTGAAGTGAGGAGACAATGTATCCGAGAGACGGAAGAGTAGATGGTTGGCTCGGGGAGGGCAGTCGTTTCCGCATACTAACTTAAGTATGAATTGTACACTCTCATAAATTATTTATTTAAAATAGTACCATGGTGTCATAAATTAAAATGTACTACTTTTCATGGCTAACAAATAATGTAATAATATTTGGACGATGCTACAGTCCAAGTATCAGGTAAAAAAATAATCCAAGTATTTAACCAAGTATTGTCCATAAATTACCAATCTGGTAAATTAAAATTCATATTGAGATGAAGTGATTCGGATCGATCCTGAAGCGAATGTCTTTGCCTCGATAGTGAGAAATAACGACTAATCCATGTTCGATCCATGTACCGTTCCATGTATTGTACAGGTAAACATAGTGCACACAAGTACGGGTAGACATAGTGCACACAGGTACGGGTAGACATAGTGCACACAGGTACGGGTAGACATAGATCAGATTGATAGAGTAAAAACGAATTCGATTGAGTGAGTTAGTTTGAAATGCTTCGCTTTAGCAGGAATTGTTGGATACGGAACCGCAGTAGCGTGAGACCAGTCTGGGTCAAGTCCAACAAGATACTTTTGTCGACTTAGCGCCAAAACCTGAGCATGACGTAGAAGCCACAGTTATGACCGTCTGTTTGGATTGGCGAGTTGATAGCCAGTACCTGGTAGGCATCGCTCAGCGTTTTGGCCAAATCCCACGACATTCGGTCCAGTACGCTGTTGTAAGACTTTTGGTTCATGGGGTCGTAGTACATTACTTGGTTTCCCTTGACGTCCACAATGTACAGTGGGTCTTCATCGATCTCCAATTGTTCTGGTAGACTTCCTCACTTACTGCATACACCATATTATGCACTAACGTGTCTATTGCATCATGGTCGTCGGACGATATCTTGCCATATTCGGGCTTCCGCGAAGCAGTGCGAAGATATTTGATAACGTGAAAGAAGCATATGAGAACTCGGGCGTTAGGAAGTAGGTGCGAAGAACTCGGATCTCATTCAGGTCTTTGTCAACCATGAGAACCTGGACATTGTCAGTAATAGCAGGATCCACTCGGAGTAAATGATCCAAAGCACGCGACATATGCCAGTCAGCATTTCGTTCTAGTAGTGATCGCTGTACAGGCTGCCCTTTTCGACCCTTGTCATCGATTGCCATCAAAGTACACAGCTGGTAATTGTACCTAAAGAACAGAACTCGTTAATCAAGGAGTACACATGTAGATTTATTTGGTCCAATATTTGGACCAAAAAATAATAAAACAAGTATAGTACATGGACAATACACGTACCGATTGGTCCTGTGGGTGCAATCTACCAGCAAAAGCTCCGGAAAGCGCGTGATCATCTCCCGCTGGTGGAGAGACGTCATGCTCATTACTCCGGAGTGACCCGCGTCAGTCTCATCCACCGTAACAACGTTACCATCTTGTGCGGCAAATACAGCGAGAGCCTGCGCTACAGCATCGTCATCGTCAATCCCACCACGACCCTCGCTCTTAGAACGCTGGACCAAGTTGCCCACGTCTTTCTTAACCAAGTGCTCTCCTCTCGCGAGAAGATACTCGTAGATGCGGGCGCGTTTGCGTCCATAATTAACCATAGTAATGACAGCGTCCTTTGTGTCCGCACAACCAATTTTTCGATTCTCTGCGTACGTCAGGAAATGCTCGGCGGCTACTGCGTGGTTGTGCTGGTAAAGGCCATTCTGTACTCGAAGCACACACGCACCCCCCTCCTCCACCATTTGGACCACGAAACGAAACTTGCACCCTGTCGCGCGGACGAAGTGCTTGGGGCGCTTACCGGTTGTTCGGATCTTCGCAGGCCAGCCATGAGTGCAGATGTATGTACGCATGTACATGATCCAGTCCTCAGGCACGTATGGAACGTCTAAACCTTTCTTGGCAGCCACAGTATTCGCCAGACGCTTGTTCCTTAAATCGCAACTTAGTGTTCCGAAGACCCGGATGATCTGACACGTCTGCAAGGCATAATCCTTCAGGTACGCTGTCCACGCAGCCCAACTTGGATATAAAGAGTCAGCCGGACCAGGCACAACCACGGGTGTCTTTAGTTCCTGGACAATACTTGGATGATTCTCATTGTCCATGTTTTCAGAAGCCTCGCAAGAAGACTCCATGCCAGATACTACGTGGCGGCAAGCCGTCGAGGGCACGCCTGACGACTCACCAGAGGACTAACGATACGCAATACACGCAAGTATAACACAGTGTTAATCCCGTAAAATAAGTGGAGTTGCATGTACATATAATAAGTGGAGTTGCATGTGTACACGCACCTTAGACGCAGACGCAGATGAAGCGGGTGGTTCGGACTGCATGGGCAGCGATGGCAGCGTTTGCAGGGGGGGCGCTGATACGTCAGGAGGTGTTCGAGACGAGCAGGGGTGAAGATGGAGCGAGCGACAGGAGCTACGGGAACGCCACAGACTAGAAACCTCAAAAAACTAAAATGAAAGGCAGGCGTGGAGCGATACAATACGTGACGGTATTTTATAAAATACGAGGCTGTAAATTACAACATGGACAATACTTGGTTTAATACTTGGTTTATTTCTACACCTGAAACTGGGACTGTACATATAGCATTTACGATAATATTTATGGCCATTTTTGAAAGTACCATTTAGAGCAAATGAAACAGTGTGGCTAAGCAAAATGGCGGCCAAGCCAAGCTTACGACAAATACCTCATTATACGTAGCAACCAAAAGTCAACGCAAACACTTGCACTAGTATTCAGACTTTTTTACTCGCAATCTCAGGAGCGAAGCAACACACGACTCGAACACTGTTCTCCTGTAGTAGACACTAAACACCGATTTGTTCTTGTTTCTTGCCGCCAATCTTGGACTCCGACACAGGCCACGCTGCAGACTGGTACAGCTGGTTAATGGCAGACAAGTCGCCCTCGCTTAGATACTTACGCTGCCCGATGGCTTCTGTGGCCGTCTCATTGCACAGGGCCTTGGTGATATCTGTGCAGTTGTCGTCGTCATTCAGGTTACAGAACTTTGTACCCTCCTTTACACAGTTCTCCGTGACTGTATCGCTGCAGTAATTAGGTTGACAGAAACCGTATGACATTGGATAATGCATGACACTGTCGAGGTCGTAGGGACCGCCGACACTAAGGTCACGGACGCTCATCTCGGACCAAATGCTCTGGTCGATATCGTCCCAGAACACACCAATGGTGCGCTTTGGGTGCTGGTGCTCGTGGTACATTCCCAGCGAGTGACAGATCTCATGCATGGCCGAACCGTACACGGTCTTTAGACTGTCGTCCACTTCGAAGCAGCGGTCGGCAAGGTTCATAACCTGCGCTCCTTCGTCCGTGATACCGATGCTGGAGTTGCAGTCACGGCCGCTAGACGGGTGCTTGAAGTCCACCCAGTTCGCGCACGAGTCGCAGGACGACAGCTTCTCCTTCTCGCACGTGTCTGTGCTCACGAACCGCACATTGGTACTATCCTCGACCTTGCTCATAGCCTGGTAGATGTAGTCCTTTTGAGTCGAGTTGAACGGGTAGTCCTCGTTCATCTGGAAGCAAACCACGCCGTCGTCCCAGATGCGCGTCGTGGACACTACAACCAGCGAGAGGCGACGGTGACTGTCTTCGGTCTCGCCCTTCTTGCTCGTCTGCTTGGCTTTCTCCTCGTGTTCGCGATACGCGGTCTCTTCGTCGATCCGCTGTTGGAAATTTTGGGTCGGGCACGCCACCTGTGTCGCCTGGTCGTGCACGCGTTCGATGAGGTAGCAACCGGCCTTGCCGTTCGAGCAGGCTACGTACGAGTCCTCTCCGTAGTATTTCATGCTGCGATGACGCAGCTTGACGCCGTTCACCTCGCAGTCCTTGGAGGCCGCTTCATTCGCGACTTCCTCTGGCGAGTCCTTGAAGACCTTGATGTGCACCGATGTCTCCTGCTCGGCAGCCACCACGGCCAAAGCTGCCAGCGTCGCCAAAACAGAGCACCGAATCCAGCCGGCCATGTTTTCTATGATAGAGAGTGTGCGCTTGCCGTCGAGCGAGAAGACGAGAAAAGTGCCAATGGATCGGTAAGCGATCGAAATGTCAATAACCTGAGGTTCGGTTGAGAAACTCCTCACCTATCTGAAGGTACCGGTAAAGAGCTTGATTGGGTGGGTATACAGCGGATGCTGTTCACTGCCTGCCGACACGCTTCTGCTGGTGCTGGACAGCAGCTATCAAAGTGGCCGCCAAGATGTTGCGAACTCTTGCTGTCGACTCGACTTGAGTTGTTGATCGCTGCGATACACGCGAACGCCTCGCCTCTCCGCGAATGTTCACTCACAAAAGCAAAGTGACTCACGGATAAATGACCAGCAAAAGCTTGAATGCCGTCAAATGTGTGGGTAGAGGAGCCTCAGGAGAGCACATGGCAGTGGCGACTCGGATGGGAGTTTTTCGAAAGTACGCCGACCAGCGAATCTTTTCTTAGTGAACGCAAGTGAAGGAGAGTCAGATCAGGTTGCTCCGACTTTACAGATGCTGGAGCAGAAGACGTTTGACAATGTGGGGACGGAACATGCCGCCGTCTGGGTCTGGGCTGATGGGCTTATTAATAGGCCTTTACCCAAGTGTCAACCACACTCTCCATTGCAGCGGCGAGGCCAGTCTCACCTCTGCACGAACTCCAAAATCTCAAGGGCAAGACATCGGCTGCGTTTGAGAACTCAATCGCACGATTCTCATCGAACTAATTACAGTAATATCCTGGTCGAGGACTATTCGATAGCGCGGAGGAAAACCCAAGCCTTTCTTGTTAATTTGAAGAGCTACAGACGATGAACTCTCGGTCCATGAATATGCTGGTTGTGGCGGTGACGCTGCTGGTCGCTTGCTGTGCGGTGGCATTCGGCACGTACACGTACCCAGAGTGCGCGCCGAACGGCAAGGGATGCTGTGAGTTCGGCACGGGCTTAATGAGGAACCGAGGCTACATAATGATCGCGCTCGAGGGCGACGACATGGTCGTCACCTGCCACAACGGCGTGTTGCGCTGCTCGTACGAGAACCCGAACAAGAAGGCTCACTACGAGGCCGCCGAGAACGTCACCTGTCCCGGTACGGTGGCTTTGGCTGGTGATGAGTCTTTGCGCACTGCTAACCTGTTATTGTGCTTGTTCTACCGTGTAGACTTCTCCTCGATGATGGAGTCGCGCTCAGAGATCACCTACCTCGAGGGTGTGCAGGCCAAGGTCCCGACTGACGACGAGCAGGCTGCCGGCACTGTCAAGGCGGCGGATATTTCGGCCTAGGCTTGTTGTAAACTCTAAATTTTCGCTCGTTTCTCGTGTCAAGTTGTTGTTTCGCTCAGTTTTGCGATCCCTAAAAAACGTAGATGTGGTCCCCACTCCTTCCAGTCAATCCATGTAGCAGCTTTGGTAGGAACAAGATAAAGCAATTTTATTGAGTCTCAAAAGGAACAAGGACTACAGTAGAGTTTAGTGGGGGAATATACCACGCATGACATTTCAATGTCAAGTTAAATAACAGACGCGCGACCACGTATCCAACAGCTTCCCCATGGCTCTGCAGATCGAGGTTTTAGCACGCGTAATGGAGACGTCTTCCCTCGGACATCTTCCGTTCTGATCAATCAGCTGAGACTTAAATCCACTCGTAGGCGCGGCCGTGCTGGGGCTGATCGCCGTGGTCCGACAGGTTGGACGTCTTGCGTCCGCGCTTGACGGGAACACCGAAGTCGTCATAGCGCCAATCAGACGGCACGTGGTTGTCCTGCTGGTCCGCGAACTTTGCCTTCCTTCTTGAAGAAGAGCTAGTCTTTCCGGATGTCATACGTGGTCCAGCAGAAGCCGACGCCCAGCCCTTAAAGGCACTGCGACGCGAAGAAGAAGACGACGAGCTGCGACGAGAGGACGACGAAGAACTGCTGCGCGACGAATTACTGATGCGACCGCTGTGCACGCGGTACATTTGGTTCGATCGGCGCGGTGGGTAGTTCCGCGGCTGTTCAACCTGTTTAGGTGGGGCGGGGGCTGGCACACGTTGGGGGCCCACGCGCTGGATGTCTGGCTCCGGAGTGGGACTGTCCTGACGTTCACCGCTGCCGGAGCTCCTGGTGCTGTTGGAGCTGTTGCTATTGGGGCTTCCGCTCTTGTCCTTGGCGTCCGAAGATGCCACCGACTCAAGCTTCTGGTCGGCGAAGCTGCTACTTCTGCTGATCTGGACGCGGCTGTTGCTTAGCTCGCTAGTACGAAATGACCCATTCGTGCCGTCAAAGAACGACGCACTAAGCTCTCTGGTCATGTCCTCGTTCGGATCGTACGAGCCCTTGCCTCTGTGCAACAATGAGTGGCTAAAGCTGTTCTTCCGCCCACCAGGTCCTTGACTCATACTCAGATTGGTACGAGCAGGCAGCGGCCGGCCGACGCCCACCGTCGCGCCGAAATCTGGATGGGGCTCCATGTTCCCACTGCTACGCACAGCACGACGAACACCGATAACACTCCTGGCGAGCGGCTTGGTGTCGTGGTCAAACAGCATCTCGTCGTCCTCGATACGGCGTCTCCGCACCGTTTCGCGTGTTGCGAAGCGCTCGTTCGGCCGTTGCTTAGTGTCCTGCATTGGGTTCGGAGGCAGCTCACCGGCAGCCTCGGCCGTCGCGAATAATATCGAGTCCCTCTGTCTGCTGTAGCTACGTCCAATACGCGTAATGTATTGCAAAGTCCCTCCCAGACCAGACGCAAGCGAAGACATCTTGGACACACGCGTCCGGTTGACCAGGCGCTTGTTGCGCTGGTAGCACAAGCCGCAGAGCTTCCAGCTCTGGAACGACGTAGTGGACAAACACGAAGAGCACACAAAGATTCCACACACATTACACAGGTGTTTCTTCTTCCTGGAGAAGAACCCAAGAGCACGCTGACAGGTCTGGCATTTGCGTTCGCGGTTCGACCGCGACGTGAGGAGACCAAACCGAGACGTTTTAGTTGACGCGGCGATAGCCGCGTCTCCGCTTGTAGCGGCGTAGTTCTCAACCAGCTGTCGATACCGGATCGACAAACTGTAGGCGTCGTGCAGACTGGAGAACGCGCCGTAAAAAGGCTCGGCGCACTTGGTCAGTTCAACGTCCAGCCACAACTGCATCTTGAGGATCCCACGATGACTGGTCTCGGCCAGTACCAGCAGCATCGCGTGGATGGCGCCGCGATGTACCTGTAGTTGCGCGTGGTGACTATTGGCACTCCTCATCTCGAACTCTCGTTCGGGGACGTCCACGGAGCGCAGCATCTTAAAGACGAACTTGTTGCCCGAAACGGGGTGCACGCCGCGTCCAACTGTTTCCATGAGTAGGAATTCTTCGGCGTGGCGTTCGTCGAGGAGGGACCGGTATTTGACGTGTTTAAGTCCGACGTAGCGGTACGGCGTTTCTTTGGTGCGTGGCACAAGGGAGTCAAGCACGCGAGCGTCAAGAAGAAGGTCCGCAGTGAAAAGCTCGCTCTCGACGCGGCGGAAGCTGCTGGTGTCGTCGGCGTGCAGTGCGCGCATGGCGTCCTGCAGTGTACCGATGACGGCCTGGCAGCTCGCAGCCGTGGAGCGACGGCGACCGCCGCTGTCGCGCGTGTGGACGTAAGGGCTGACATTGATAGGCGGGCGCGAGGCTGCACGCTCCCAACTGGCAGAGACCGAAGGTGAGGCCGTGCGACTGAAGTAGTTGCTCTGCAGTACGTGGGCTACGCAGTTGGCGTTGTCCTGCAGCAAGGCCTGAGCACTGGCCGCGGACTGAACGCGCATCGGAGACGGCAACGGGGGGAGATCTCAACTGTACTGCGCTATGACCCGAATGAAGACCGCGAGCCGCAAGGGTACACACGGGGTCGTTTGTCGAGTGATCGAGTGAGGGGCGGCTCAAGGCACGTCGAACTGTGCCTGGCTGAAGTTCGGATGTCCATCGGGGAAGGTGCTATGATGGCACAGACAGGGTGCGGGACATAGACAAAGAGAGGGAACCATGTGTCTCTTTAATCAAAACCTTATGCAACTTGCTTGATGTTATATTTCAAGTACAGACAGGTAAAAAGATACAAAGATTATAATCTCTGTGATCTTATAAAATGCCAAATGAAGTATATAAATTGGGCGGCAGGTTTTATGGTGTTTTGAAACCATCCGGTGACGACGAGCAAACGAGCTAGAGCTTGCCGACACCACAACGAGCCTTTCGACACTTCCGCCCTCCCTACACTTTTTCAGATAAACGAGGTGCCTCGTTACTGCCGAAAGCGGGTCTTCAAGCGATATACCGTAAGCGTCTCCATCAAAATACCCGGTTCTGGCAGCAAGATCCGAGTATTTTTTGCGTCTGAGATCGCCCCGGCCAGAGTCGCCGCAGTGGGAAGCTCCGAGGCTCCTGCGATGCCGAATTCGACGCTATTGCAGCGTCGACACCACGTTCATCCAGCGTCGTCGTTAAGTTTCGGTGCGGCTCTTTTCCCGTTGCGCGGTTGCAGCGATGGATATTGTCCAACGACTTCGGGTCTTGGTGCCTGTGATCAACAGAAGCGCGCTACGTGCAGTGCACGCCACGTTCACCTGCAAGTTGCAGTGGAAGGCCCTGAATCCATGCCCGGGTCGGCACGGTACTGCATCGATCGATCGGTACACGTATTAAATTTTGTTCGACTCGAGAGACTTTGGCCGAACGTTGTGCATACCGGTAACGCCCCCGTCTTCGGTCTGTGAGAAGATGGATCAGTCTCGCCTTGTTGGAGAGGGTAATGCGGAGCCACAGAGCCCAACGCACGTGGTCACCACTTGAGAGCGTTGACATTGCACTATCCATCGACTCCGACCTTACCCGATCGCAGTGGTGCCGGAGTATTAAATAAGGTAGGGCCACATTCCAGCGCAAATCGAGTTGGTGACCTGCGGTGCTGTCATGTAGAGGCTCGGGCGGCGCGCCATCAAGCATTCTGTCATCTGTAGAATTTAGGTGATCGCTGATGAGCGACCAATCAATCACATGAGTTAATTGCGAAAGAAGTGTATTAAACAGCCGTCAACAGGATGAGGCAACCTTATGACTGTGGCCATCCATTTCATATTGATGGCTTCTCTAAAACACACCGTGTATCGAGCTACAACAGTGGCGCTTGGACGAGGTGTCCAGATGAGTAAAGCAGCTCGATCAGTGTCGCTAGTTACTCGCACCGAAGCTACTGTTGCCGTTCTACCGGGAATGGATCATACGAAGTATGTAATGGAGAAGCCAACTATCTGTGCTGCTTCTGCCGACTCCACGTCAGAAGTATGGATAACTTCTGGCAGAACAGCACGGAGCGACTCGGTCCATGCACAAGTTTGTAACTTCAAGAATCACTGCAATCTTACATGTGGACATCCGAACACTACTTGCTATCACCACATGCTGAGGAAATACCATCGGTCAGTAGAAAACTACTGATCTGTCCCCAACGCGGCGCAGAAAAGACGGCAATCAGTAGAAAATGATTAAGTTCGATCCGTACCTAACTCTAATCATAGCTACATTTCTGCTGCCTTCAGCAAAACCGCTTTTGCCCTAAGCGTACCATGCCTCGAAAGCCGCCTCCGAATTATGGGAGTTCTCCCTTCGTGGTAGATCTTTCTGACATCGCTACAGCTATAAGCATGGGTGTTTTGAGGGAAGACGCAAAAGTTGATACCTCAGACCGCTCCAGCCAAAAGTATGGGGGAGTATACGCGACGCGAACCAATATTGCAGACACTGAGTTTCCAACACAAAAAGCAGCAAGGGCAACATGTGACGATTTTGCAACGGTATGTGGATTCCAGTTGATTGTACAATCTTCGAGTGTGAAGCCAAACAACTCAGGAAACGCGAAGTACGTCTGCAAAAAACTAAATGGCATGGAGTTCTTTGATAAAGTTACCCCGGCAAAAGATCTAAGCTGCCCATTCTTCATCAATGTACACGGAAAGAATGGGGTATGGAAGATTACTCAAGCCAACTTCGCCCACAACCATCTCAAAAACATTGGATCTACTCAGAAACCACTCGCGGAGGGAAATATCCCTCGTGAAAAAAAGGCGAAAAGGAACCGGTCTGTCCGTGAAGCTCAACTATCGGCTGTAGTAGCACGTGAATTCTGCCAGCTCATGCCAACTCAACTTCAACTCTTTCAGGGAAAGCTGTGCAGAAGTTTTTTAAAGGGAAGGGCATCAATGTCAGCAAATCTTCGATTTCTAGGATCAAGCAGGACCTGGACGAAAAATTGCATGGAGATTTACTCGAGAGCTACCAAAAATTGAAGTCGTACTTGGAGCTTCTGGCAAGTAAGAATCCCGGTTCCTTGTGGCGATATGAGAGCGAGAGCGATGGCGTGACCTTCAAGCGTGCTTGCATTGTCCCGAACGCAGGCGCCCACATTGTGAGTATGACTAAAAATTTGATTAGTTTTGATGGCGCTCATTTACAGGAAGACATGAACAAGCGAGGGGGTTTTCTTGTTGCCACTACAAAGGACTACAACAATCATATCATACCTTTTGAGTTTGCTCTGGTACCAACCGAAAATTACGACAACTGGGTTTGTTTTTTGAGGGCAGTCAAAGATGCAATTAAAGTAGAGAGAATCACGATTTTGTCTGATCGTCAAAAGGGTCTTATTTCTGCAGTTGCCGAAGTTTTCCCATCCGCTGGACACCGCTTCTGCCTCCGCCATATCATGGATAATATCAACAGAGCCAACCATAGACTCTCTCTTCAAGACAGAGCAACAATCTGCTCTATCGCTCGTTCCGACTGTGAAAATGACTACAACTTGTACATGAACGAGTTGGAGATTTCGAATTCAGGAGCCGCAGAATACCTCACTAAGAAGACTGAGGTAATCACACCGAGCGGTACCGAACAGAGACTAGTGCTTCCCACTGAAAACTGGGTTAAGTATAAGTTCTTCGAGAAATTTGGCCTGTCAACATACGATGAAATTACTTCAAACATCTCCGAACAAGCCAATAATTGGATGGGGAAAGATCTGCGCAGCTCAAAACCGCTTGATGCGTTTAACCTGTATTGCTTTAAACTCGGCCAATTGATGTCTGATAAAAGAAATGAAGCAGCAGATTGTGCACTTGTGGAAATTGGGAGGACGAACAATTTCCCTGTGTACACGCGATTTGTGCAGCTACCAAACATGGTATGAGACTTGAAGAACTGTACGACGCACAACGGCTTTCAATTGGGCACTTCAAGGATACCTACACGTTTAAGTTTCTCCCGTGGCCAACGACAGAAAGCCTCGTAACCAACCCGCAAACAAAGATACCACAACTAGCACCGGAGCCCGAGCGAATTGGCAAAAGAGGTAAGAAACCGGGACCACATCCGAAACATGCACGTAAAAAAGCAAAAAATGCTTTGTAGGGACGACTTTTCCATTTACAATTCACCCAATAGGCTCAAACTTTAAGGAAACTAACGACACAAACAATTGCAATCGTTGCATGCTGATTAATAATTAAGGTATTTCTTTCCAATAGATTATCTTACTGATCCTCACATCTCAATAAATATCAGCAGCAAACGGACTGGGGAGTCAGAA